ATATTTTATTGATTTTGGTTATATATGCTGATAAATTATTCTAGAGTCTAAAACCTGAAATTAAAATTTGAAGACAAAATTGTTTTTGATCTATTTTATTTAAAAGACGAAATTTTTTGATATTTTTTTTGAAGAGACAAAATTATAAGAAATATAACTACCTAAATTAGATTTGCTTTTATATATAAAAAATTCTAATTTGCTCTAATAGAGATGAAATAGAGTTTTTTTGAAAACCTATTTCGGTAGCATGTATAATTTTGGTTAAATGATTGCTGAGATATCTTTAATCAAAGTTTTAAAAATTTATAAATAACAATGTGATAAAATCAAAAGAAATAACAATTCTCTTTTTTTATTTTTTTAGATGTCTGAGTTAAGAAATAAAATGTAATATAATTGTGAATATATTTATCATTGTATAGTCGAATAAAAATTTTGTTCAATTTGATCAAGCATTATTTAAAAATTTTAATAATATAAAAAATCAAATTATTAGCAATATCTATTTTATACTATTCGATTCGTCTCACTAAGACGAATTGAATGGTATAAAAATTATTTGATCCTATTTAGTATTTGGCGAAATATCTTCGTATTTGTCATTTGCAAAAAAATAGCTATAGTGAAATTTTATACTAAGTAAATTGATCTTAATACATTAATAAATTGTTCACTACACTAATTTATATATAATTTTAAAATTTGAGAATTTTTTATTAATGAGTATTTTCGTTATACGTTACTATCAAATCAATTTTTTTATTTGTCAAGGCTGTAATCTGATTGGCCATTAACATGTGATATCGTGCAACCTAAACATCTAATATTTGGTCTTATCTTTTTATCCACCTCTTTTCCTCCTTACAATACTATCTCTCAACACTTTCTCAACATTATGTAATCTTTCTATCGCCTCTAAACCAGCCTCACCCCAGTTATTGATTGTAATCATGTTTGATTTAGCAGATGACACGCTTATATGATTATCCGCTGTTTGTGGTTTTATAGTGCTTGGAAGGTGGGAAATAATATCTTCGTATGATGTGTGGATAATTTCGAAGTCTTTAAGCCTCTAAATAAATAAGTTAATATGACCAAATTAATCATGTAAGTATCATGTAATAATTATTGCGAAATTTTAGGGTATCATTGCCATAAAAATTTTGCTGTCACGTGACGAGAGAAAATTTTAAAATAGAATTTTCAGGAAAATTTTTGTTAGTGTACGAAAAAGTTGGTTTCTTATACAAGTCTTTGAGAAATGTGTGAATTTTGACAAAACGGGCGTTAGTTCGTAACATCAAATTGTGATTCATTATTGACGTAGATCATCGTGTGGTTGTGAAATTTTTATGGCGATACTGGGTAGTTTATTTGTAACAAACTACTCACTTGCCGCAAACTATCAAGTTTTAAATTTGCTTCATGTACCCGTAAACTCAATCCTAGAGATATGGGTCATACTATATGTTAAAAGATATACATATGAGGAAACCATTGTACGAATAAACTTACCATTAACAACTTTTTTTTGATCTTTTCTTACCCAAGGTTCAATCTCATTATCATAAATTTTGTAAAATCTTTCCAGTTGTAACATGAGTTCTTTAGTGACTTGAGCAAGTTTGTTCAAGGTTTGCTGATTCGAATCTTGTTCATGAGCATGCTGAAACTAGTAATACAAATCTATTGACTTTCACCAAATTCGTCAGCAACATCCACGAATAATGCTTACCCGCTCTTGCATGCAATTTAATTCCGTTTGTATATTATGAATTAATTGCTTTTCTTTTTCCTTAGAGTTTTGAAGTGTACTGATGTCAACTTTACTGATTTTCATAAATAATGACTTAAGTGTTTGATAAAATATAAATAAAGTATAGCTGTAAGATTAATAAACCAACATACCTACATATGTTACCGGTACATTTTGCATTGCCAATCATTAATTCTACGTCTCTTGGAAATAATTCAAATTGTTGATCTACAACTTTATTCATCAAGTCACAATTTGCGGTTAAACCATCCATTAAAGAGCAAGATTTCGCTAATTCATCCGATTTACTATGCATCAATGATACAAGTGATCAGTCTAATATAAATTACGTTGTGTGTATCAGAATACAAAGCTTTACATTTCATCATTATTAAGCATCCGAGAAACTTTTAGTACGGAAAATAGGTTATAATGGAATCCAATTAAACGATCATGAGGTGCAGTTCCCTTTAATAATAGATAATTAGGATCATTATTATATTCTCAATTCGATCAATTATGTTATTCACCTCAATCAAATCTATTTCTGCCGGTTTACATAATCCAATCAAAGCCACCCTTCGAACTAAATCTGCTTAAATAACGCGTAAAGCAATTTTTAGTGAATATTCGAAAAACGTTCTAAACTTAAAAAAAAATACTAACTTTGAACTCTTTCTGTTTGTGGTTTACTTGAATTAAACGCAAAATTTCTTTCATTATTTTGTGAAACAAAGTTTTCTAGCCTACGATCGATTCTTTGATATTAAAAGGATAAGGATTTTAGTGGTACTTAAATAATCGATTAAACAATGTAATTACTTAATCAACGCCCATTCAATGAAATCGCAAGAAACTTTTCTATCATTAACAACTTGAGCAAATGTAAAGGGTGAATTCACTTCTGCAAATTTTTGTACGATTATTTCTCGCGTATGCATGATAATGAGAGCGTTGTGTTTGGCCTGATCCCAGTATCGCGTAGAGTTCGTCACCAAAAAGTCACTGTCACGTGACAGTAACGCAAACTTTCAACTTCCCCAGGATCGCCACCAAATTACTAATAAAATTTTTTCGATCACGTGAAATTATCC